AAGTTATTTTAGTGAAAACCATGATCGAAAAATGAAAAATTTTGTTCTGCCACTAACTCGCCAAATAACAGATAACCCTCAAACTTAGTGTGAACATAAAGTAATTTCGAATCATCACCTTTTTGCATGATGTTCCCGAAGAAAAAACCGGGTAAAACATCGTGCAATAAAGTCAATAATTTGATTGCTGCAGTTCTTCAAAAGTATAAAGATCAAAAGGGGAGAACTATAAACAGATTCGTCAAAAAAGCGTAGAGCAGACGATAAATATTCACTCCACGTCTTTGGCATTTTATTAGACTTCTGTCAAAACGAGGGATCCCAGATCTTCTGATTTTTGAAAATTTTTTTGCTGCCTCGTTTCCGGTCTTTTTTGCTCTAAGGCCTACTGATTTTCTACTTCTTTTTCTAAGGTTTTTTCTGATTCTGGACTTTTACTTTCTGATTTTCGTGTTTTGGATCTGGGATCCCTGACCAAAATGCTGTTTTTATTTTTTACTCTTAATCTTTAGTTTATAGGAAAATTAAATTAAATGAAGATCACCGATTCATTTTACACATCCATTTTCTACTTCTCTTCAATCTTTTCTTTATTTTTGTTTAGTCCGACTAACGTTAGAACTTTGTAAGGAAAGGCGACTAATCTTTGACTGAAATATTTCTGCGAAGGTCAATAAAATGCAAAAAAGAACCGGACGCGGAACCAAAAATAGACAACAAGAAACTCGAATTGATTTTATGAAGTATACAAATTCTTTTTCACTTTTGATTTTGAAAGGGTTCATATACGGGCATTTTATATGTATAAAATCATCAGCGCTAACGTAAGTTCTATAAAATCCGCACAATTTACAAAACAGTGAAAGTTTTCGTTTACACTATTAACTTCAAATTTTTTTTCACAGTTGATTTTTCAAGAGCAAACATTTCTCTACAAAATGAGAGGTTCCGCAACTCTGAGTAATCCTTTATAGGCGACTTATAACATGCCAAATGTGAAAAAAGACAAGAATTTGATTTTGGGTAGCGCTATTGCCACTCTCTGAGAGTGTCAACAAGAGTCGTCGTATTTTTACTTCTGGATGTAAGTTCCGGCACTGTTTATGAATTTCTTAACATTGAATTACTTTCGAAAACAAACAAGCTTGAGATCGACCTGCTGAAACGTTATTGACTAGTCAACAGAAAACCGCTTGTGAAGCAAACTATAACTTTTATTCTCTTTTTATTTTGGTTTCATTCTAGTGAAAACAATTGCAGCTAGTTTTCTTAAAGCAAATTAAACTTTATTTTCACATTAGAATGGTAGTCTTGATCTTTTTGTTCTTCTATTTATTTGTTTTTGATCAATAGTCGTGACTGTTTTAGTCAAAAAATAAAAACTTGTGTATGCTCTATACTTCTTGCAGAAATCGTAATTGTATAGAGTATCTTTAAGCCACATATGAAAAACGAAGCCATACATAGATGAATATAACTTACTTTTGCAAAAGCTTATTATCAACAATTTTCCATACTTTCTGAAGACCGCTTGTGTAAATTTCTATACACACCAACATATTGCACTTTTTCAGCGATAGGCTCACAATCAGTTGTGCCTTATGGAAAACATTCTTAGAACTTCAATGCAAAGAAATTCATAAAGGGTACCGGAACTTACACTCATACGTTAAAATACGACAACTCCTTTTAACACTCTCAGAGAGTGGCAATAGCCATTCCGTTTTATTTTATGTTAATAAATCTTGCGTCTTGTACCAGATTTCAGCTTGAGTCGAAGAACAGGAAAAGTCACAAATTTCAGGATCGCACAAACTCTCTCTCCGAAGAGTTTTTTCTCGAAGCAGTGGGGCGCTAATTTCACTATGTTTACCCGGCTTTCTCTTCAAGAAATGATGCAGTTCATTTCACATGGATTGACCTCAAAATGAGTACAATTTATTCGCATCTCTAAACTCTCTCTTTAAATTGCTCTTTACCCTCAGTTATCATTCAAGTTATTAAAAATTTTTGTTATGTATATAGGCGTATCTTCACTGGAACCAAAAATATATTTTTTCTCTTCGCTCATGTTTTGTCACACAATATCTCGTTTACACGATACTCTTCTGTTTTCTTGTATATACTTCTTTATACACCAGAGCAGAAAATTTTCTTATTTGACATATATAAACCAGTCTTGCTTTGCAAGAAAACTGCTTAAAATATCTATCTTTGTTTTTTAGTTTTCCTCTAATTTCTAAAAGCATAAAAATTTACTCCGAAATTGACTTTGCCCTCCCCCTGCCTCCGAGATGTCGGGACGCCCCTGTTTGTTTATCCATTACATTTGACTGGTATTGCGTATGCAATGGACATTGGTTTTAGTCTAATTTCGGTCTATACGCTTTTCCCAACCTACTAGGACAAAAGTCTTTTCCCCATTAAGCAGTGCATGTTTCAAAGTACATATTAAAATCACTCAAAAGTCAGCAGCGGGAGAGAAATCGTCAAACGGCAATTATGTTCGTCAAACGAGAATTTTGCTAAGAAACCTGCATACTCTATTCTACTGCGTGCAACAAAAACTGCGGGACGTCAGCTCTGCCATTTATAGCATTCCGACACGAGAACTATGCCCCAAAAAGATATTATGCTCTCTTCATGATAATTTATATCACTTCATAGTCACTTTCTCCTCTAGTACACGAGAATAAATAAACCCTCCCTGCGAGAATTATGCACGATCGGGGAGATATTATGCTGTTTGCACGAGAATTTTCCGTGTCTTCATAACCACTTTCTTGTTCACTACGCTAGAATTATGCATTCACGCGACAATAATCGCGAAAATAATAATTTCTTTGAAAAGATACAAAATTCCCGTGGAGAGAGTATAATATCTTTTACATTATGCATAATTCTCACAGAAAACAACATTATTCTTGTGTGATTGCGCTATTCCTGTGGCTTGGACAGAAGGCTTCTGTGCACAGATACAAAATTCTCGTAGAGGGAGCATAATATCCTTTTGATTTTGCATAATTTTCTCTCTGGTACACGAGCATAATGCATTTACACGAGAATTATGCTGCTTTTTGTGGGAATTGCGCACGAAAAAGGATTATGCTTTCGCAGAATTTTGTATCTCCCCGCAGAAACCTGGAGTTTTTTAGCAGACGAGTTGAAGAAAAATCTTTTTTTCAAGTTACTTATAAGCATAAGGACATGACTAATTCAAAAACATCTCTGCTCAGGTCTTTTCTGTCCGAGACAGGAGATATTCTTTCCTAAAAATTGACACCTAGCAACATGTCTCTATACTGTACTCGAGCTACTTATGGTTATTTTATTCATAAAGATATGACTATCAGTAGACGGTAGAAAAAGTAGTTACTTCTGATTATTTTTCGCAAAGAATGTCTCCTATCTCGTGTTATGACAGCTACACTATCATTCCTTTTTGACATAATAGAATGTTGACTCAAAATAGTTGGGTCAATATTCTTTGGTGTCTAGTGATACTATATATATATATAGGATTGTTTAGTGAAGAAAAAAGAGATTTTTTGTTTCGGATCAAGATTTTCTGTTTTTTATTATTTTTATTCGAATAAAACTAGTGGCAGCTAGCATCTCGGTAACGGAAAAGGCCTAACCAGGGATTTTTTTGAATTAGTCATGTCCCTATGCTTATAAGTAACTTGCAAAAAAGATTTTTCTTCAACTCGTCTGCAAAAAACTCCAGCCAAATCTGTTTTCGACTCCATATACAAACATATTCTCAATGACTTTTGGATGAAGTTTTTTCAATTCACTTCATTCTTGGACTGTAAAAGTTCCCGTTACTTCTTCGGGTGTTATCGACAACGCTAACTGACAATACAGTTGCCGTTAAAACAAGGGTAACTAGCCATTATACGTGCCATACATAAGAAAGAAAGCAAATTACTCGTCCAAAACGATCGTCCTATTTCACTATTGTCTAATGTTAGTAAAGTGTTCGAGAAGCTGATTTACACGCATTTATACTCATTTCTAAACACAAAAAAACTTTTTTAACCCAACTCAGTTTGACTTTCGTCCAAGTGCTTCAACCGCAGATGCTCTTCTTCTTCTCACTCAAAAGGTTTACCAGCATCTGGAAAAAAGTGCAAATTAATTGGCATATCATTTGATTTTGAAAAGGCATTCCACACTATACCACATCAGATTCTACTACAAAAAACTGGCTAAAGCGGGAGTAGTCGGAAGTCTTTTGAAATGGTCGCTTGTGATCTTTCAAACCGTACACAAAAAGTTTCTGTGGGCTTTTCAAAAGTGAAGGTGAGCTTTTGTTTTGTTTTTCATCGAGTTGCTCGCAAGATGTCTTTCGTTATTTTTGTAGGATCAAATATTTTTCATTGAAATCTTGTCAAACGTGAAGTTGTATCTCAAGAGTCTTTCGTGACTAGGGGGTGTACCGTTACCAGTTACCGTTACTGTAACGGTAACGACTCAAGCTTTACCGTTACCGATAACGAGTAACGGCCGTTACTTGTAACGGTGACGGTTTGACTGTAAAAATTTTGACCTGGCACGTGGACATATAACCTTACGACCATATAATTAAAAAGTCTGCTCCCATCAGTTCTCGTAGAATTTTACGTGTTCAGAAAAAATTTACTTGCTTAAGCGTCCAGGAAAAGATTATTATTTGAAGATTCCGGTTTTCAAAGCTTTGACAGACATTTGACATATGGAAAAATGGCTTTCCTACATTATTTTGGTTTTGATATACAATTGTTAGATAATTTACAAGTATGTGGAACAAGAAGGGGTTGTGTCTTTCATAGAGAAGAAAAATACTCTTACATCCTCTTCAGAATAAATCCTTGAAAGAGAGGTCCTACGATAAATTCTTATTTGAACTTCCTATCAGGTGTTCTTTACCTTTTGATCTACATTGAATGTACCATTATATCGTCGTGTTCATATATCTTATAGGATGTTAAAGAAGGTTTAAAGAATAATCATCGTACCATTTTCACACAAACGATTGTCGATGGACATCTGTTAGATGAACCTACAGTTAAATTAATTCAGTATTTTTATCATGATAGAGCAGTCTACCCCAAATTTAATAATGATGATACCAAACAACAAACTAATTCTGCAGACGCAACGATACATGATGATTCTAAACTGACATTTGGACAATATGCTCAAGTATCCATGACACCAGGTGTAATTACACTTATATTTGAAGCAGCTTTGAAATTAAAACAATATTATTCAAAGAAATTTTATTATGATATAAATCATCTTTCACCCACATCATTTCGACAACTAAAACACGCACATATTGAAAGACAGATGTGGTATTTTATAAGGCATCAATGGTTCGTGTAATTGCTGTGATTTTTTCTTCTCTTAGTTTTTATTCAAGGGACAGTAAAGTAAACACTGACCATTATATTTCAGTTATCGTTGACCTCCGTACGCTCTCCTGTCCCACTGCAAATTCTACGGACTGTTCGCATACACCGTGCTAATGTTATATAGTGAGCACTACAAATTCCTGAAATATTCGTGTTTGGCTGAAGCTTTATTTCTTAGAAAGTCGATTTCAAAGCCAAGAAAGATTGCCATGATCGGATTTCTAAAATCATATAATTATACTTTCATATCCTATTTTAAATCTAATAATGGTTTTCTGTACCCTTATTTATAATCAATCTAAATACTTATAACTAAATTTATAATAAGTAATATAAGATAAATCATACAATAGCATAACATAAGATATAACGAGAAAACTCACTACTTATATACATTTTTCAAAGCACTTGGGAACAACCCAGAGTTAGAAAGAGCCAAGACTTCGAAAAAACTGCACGGAATTATTATGCATTTTGATGATTTTAAATTCGAATTTGTTGTCTGTTGTGATCGATCGTTATTAATATAGTGCTGTTGCCGATCTCGTTTTTCACACCTTTTATCTTCTTTCTGTTTTATTTCCACTGTGATTTAGACATACTGTTCGTTTTGACTAGTAGTTGAATTTCATTCCGAACACGTTGTCTTTTTCCGTATGTCCGAAGATCGTAACGGACTACTTAACGGGAGTTCGTGATGAAAAATTAAGACAAAAATTAATAATCCCGTAAAATGCACAGAACATTTCCTAGAGATCGTAGTCAATTATTTGAATCACAGGAGCAATTCCGTTACTAGCTCGATAATCAATCACTTATACTCCATAAACTTCGGCTTCGAAAAGAATTCCTATGATTACTAGATTTTCTGAGCAAAAATTTGGTAAATCTAACGAAACGCGAAAGTCAAAGCATAGCGTAACAATTTTGGCTAAAGATTTTGATATTTGCTATAGAAGCAGTCCGAAAGTCTATAAACACTTTGGGAAGAGCATATTTAAAAACCAATAGAAAAAGTGTTTACAAACTTTCGGACTGCTTCTATAACAAATTTCAAAATCTTTAACCAAAATCGTTACGAATACACTTTGACTTTCGCGTTTCGTTAGAACTATCAAGGTTTTGCTCAGAAAACCTACTAATCGTACATCATTCGACGCAGTTTCTTTTACTGATTTTAAATATGTCATTTTTATTGAAATGAAAACCTGTTTTTATGTTACTTTCATTTTTGTTTCTCTCAGAATAATGGGACATTTCACCATCGCGCAGTGCTCACTTAAAGCCAGAACAAGTAAATGGGATTTTTCATTACCATTCTTGTACAGAATTTGATGGTGCATCTTTCAAAAAAAGATCAAGACTTTATGATTTAGCTGTGCTGCGATATTTACAAAATACCCGATATTGCAATCATTTGACTCACCCGGTATTTGTGACATGGAAAAAGAAAACGAGTGATATGATTTCTTCAACGACAAACATGTTTTTGTTTAACAATCTAGAGACTTTCAATTTATTTCATAATAGCTTTTAGAAAAGCTTTTACATTATTAATCAACAATAATATAGAATCATTTTGTAAGGTGAAGAATTTCAATATAGATAATAAGAGATACACCACCTTTTTCATCATGAAAATCGACTATTTTCGACGTTTCGTGTTTTTTAAAAAGACATGCGGAAAGGGGTTGCGTTTGAATAAAGACGGAACCTGGGAAAAAGTCGG